GTTTTCAAGGTCTTGAAATATAGAACCCCTATATCACTATACTCCCTCTTTGAAACATCTAGCAGACTTGGCAAAGAGACACTCATTCTCACACCTAAACCATCAGACAGCTACATATACAGAGCAGGGACAATATGGAATACAGTACGACAAAATCTCATGCTAACTACATTCACCTGTTATAAACCCAATCACCTCAAATCATCCATAAGAATCACCATCACTCACACTCAAAAGGAAGGAGAACCAAATGACTGGAACCTAGCCTTAAACAGCGTTCGACAAAATTCAAAAACTTTAAAATTGACCTTGCCTAGATTACTTAAGCTTGAAAAAGCGGTAATATCTTAGCAAAATATAACTTGCAGCAGCCCCATACCTTGTCATGAACATAACATCAATACCACCTCTGTGATCACATCTTTCTCTGGGTGCAAAATGAATATATAATATAGGTTTATTAGTTTTATAGAAATTTAAAAGTTCTATAGAAATTTATTATAGAAGGATTATAAACATTTTATTTGTGTGTTTTGTGTTATGCATTTTTATACCTATTTTAGAAGAGATTTTTATAGAATATTAGAAGTGTAGTAGGGTCAGTTTCAGATGAATTAAGCATTTAAATGACATCATTGCCATGTCTGAAGTGGTTTGTAAATGGGCCATTGTTAGCCCCAAGCGTTTTGGTCCGTCATTCCTGCCACTCAGCATTGCCTACTGTAAAGTAGAAATTTTTCTGAGACAATAGAGAAACTGACCTTGTCTCACTAAATTCAACCACTTTCCATAATAAAAATACTAACAAATAAAGTTTTTTAAATAATTATATACAACCACTAAAGAATATTTCCTCAAGTTTACTTCTAGTTAACTAATTCGTGGTTTAAGCTCTTATTTTATTTATGAAAGGAATGTAAAATAAAACTTATTGTTTCATTGAAAACTTATTGTTTCATTGAGTTGATGTAAACATCGTCACAAAATGATAAGACATCATAAATAGGTTAAATTTGGAAACAATGCAATGATTATAGAATGAAATAGTCTGTGATTAACATATTACATACATTATAAAATATTCTTCCAGAAATTATTGGTTGGTTATTGTTTAGCAAAATAGAACTCAAGTTTAACAATGCTGAGTTTAATTTTACCAAGTTACTGAAATGTGACGAAATTTACTTTTCCTGCCCCAACAGTATAATTTCAATGTGATGAAAAATTGGCATGGGTTTCTATATTTCCTGTATAAATCCATTCTAACTATAATAAGGACTATTGATATGAAAGAAAATCTATCTAAATTTTAAAATGACGTATGTGACGAAATTTACATTTCTTGCCCCTATTTTGAAGAACCATACCTCGGTTAAAATTCAATTTTCTTCCAGGAATTATTGGTTGGTTATTGTTCAGCAAATTAGAACTCAAGTTTAACAATGCTGAGTTTAATTTTACTAAGTTACTGAAATGTGACGAAATTCACTTTTCCTGCCCCAACAGTATAGTTTCAATGTGATGAAAAATTGGCATGGGTTTCTACATTTCTTGTATAAATCCATTCCGACTATAATAAGGACTATTGGTAGGAAATAAAATCTATCTAAATTTTAAAATAACGTATATGTGACGAAATTTACATTTCTTGCCCCTATTTTAAAGAATTACCATACCTCAGTTAAAATTCAATTTTCTTCCAGGAATTATTGGTTGGTTATTTTTCAGCAAATCAGAACCCAAGTTTAACAATGCTGAGTTTGGTATCACTAATTTACCGCAATGTGACGAAATTTACTTTTCCTGCCCCAACAGTATAATTTCAATGTGATGAAAAATGGGCATGGGTTTCTATATTTCCTGTATAAATCCATTCTTGCTATAATAAGGGCAGTTGATATGAAAGAAAATCTATCTAACTAATGCTATGGCTGATGTGACGAAATTTACATTTCTTGCCCCTATTTTGAAGAAACATACCTCAATTAGTATATAATGTTATTTTATCACCATCACTATGTCGATAAATTAGTTATTTTGCCAACACGGAGCAAATAAAGTTATAATATTTTTTTTGTGACGAAATTTACAAATTTTTACCCTGTTCAGGTGTTGAAATTTTGCCAATGTTAACATATCACTGCCATATAATAATTTATATGACCGGCGTATGGTTGAAATATTGTTAATTGATCCATAGTACGTAATATAGGGTGTTTAAGTTGGTATACTAATATTTACTCAATTTCACACATGTTGAGATATCATACAAATTTATGTGACTAAATTTACCTATTTCTGCCTTCTGTATTTGTATTTGCCTATAACAATGAAATATGTGAACATTTCCAAACACATTCAGCTAACAAAACAATGCTAGACTATTCGGCATTTCTTGTCAGGATGCCATAAACATCCCTCATATAAATTTCTTAAATGTGTGACGGAGTTTACATGGTGCTACCATTTAACGAAAAAAGTCGCTAAATATGTAGATAATAGTCATATGCAACTATCCTATAAATTTGAAATTCGAAAATTTGGTCAAACACGGCAACAAGGGGTCCATATAAACTCTGTCACATTTTTATAGTGTGACAAAGTTTACAACTCACTGCCGGCCGCATTTAAGCGATATCTTATCGTCTGATAAATATATCGTTATGCGACAAAGTTTATCTAGAGGATGAAACGATTATCCTAACCATTGAGGGTTTATATAGTTTTATAGTGTGACACATTTTACATCATCGTGCCATTTAGTAGGGTCACTAATATTTACCAATATCCTCAAACTTCAATGAACGTGTCCATATATATATATTACCGTGCTAATCACGATGGTCTTTCTCTAATGGTCTAATAAAAATGTCTATTTTACACTATGCCTATTTTACACTACTTTACGCAATGCCGAGTGTCAGGAATGAGGGACCAAAACGATTGGGGCTAACAATGGTCAATTTAGAAACCATTCTTTGTTGCGACATGTGGGACCATCAGGTTATGATATTGTTTTTGTAGTTAAACTCCTTTGTGGTCCAATCAAGCAGGGCATGGCTAATTGCTAAACAGTGCACGTTTAAGCTTTCCTCAAAAACATATCCCACTCATGATAAAGTCAGCCATTCTAAGCGTAAGGCGACGTCCTCCAACTTCAAACTTGTAATTCTATCATGTTACATATCTTCACCTAACCATGTGCTTTCGTGCCACTGCCGGTGCGCTTGTTTCTCAAGCGGGGGTCATGATTAATGTTTTTGTAGTCAAACTCCTTTGGGGTCCAATCAAGCAGGGCATGGCTAATTGTTGATTATTAAACACTAAACAGTGCACGTTTAATATAAGTTTTCCTTGGAAACATATCACATCCATGCTTAAGTCAGCCAAATGCTAAAGTCATCCAAGATTTTTGTTGATCTTTTATTATGTTTGTCAGTGGGTCAGCCAGGGAGGACTACTTTGTCATTGAGGGCCTTCTTGTAGTTGTTGAAAGCATCACATCCCAGGTTTATGCAACGCTGAAGACAGATCCTACTAGAGCAATCATTTTTATCTAGAAGATTTATTTCCTACAGTCACTTTCTACTTAACTGGTACCAGCTAGATAAACATTGTAATGGCAAAAAAATTGGAATTTTGTTTTCTTTAAAAATGTTGTTTTCCTTAATACAGTAATACCTGATTTACTGCAGAGTTTGGGAGAAAGGGAACAGTTGCAGTTAATCAGGGTTTGTGGTAAATCAGGGTTTTGATTGTTTTCATGTCGTATGTTAAGCACTATTTGGGGGAAGGAAAAGCTGCAGGTTTGCGATAATCAGGGTTTTACTATCAAGTTGAGTATTCTCGACCTACTTAGTCCCCATGCCTTGCAAACTTACAGCACAGTATTTATAATGGTCTAAGTTCCTAATACTCGCCAAAGATGGTTCCTCTAGTCAATCGTAGGAGAAGAGAAAGATTGACAACAAATTAGGTGGCTGCATTTTGTTTTGATTTTATCAGGTCCTTGTATTTATCCCTTTTGTCTTAAAGTTTTAACTTTAAGATAACTCTCCTTAAATTATTTTAATGCAGTCACTCAGATAAGTTTATACCAGGACACTTTAACGAAGACACATACTCTCCCCACAATAAGGGGCCATAATTGTTTCAATTATGTAACTGTATAGAATTATTATTATATCGGGTCTCAATAAGAGGTCTCGACTGCCTAGGCATCAAACCTTGGCAATCGGTAATTTTCCTCTGGCCCGGAGTCAGCTGACCCTAGGGACCAGAGGATAAAGACGTAGAGACTGTGTGTATCTACAAAAGTGGATGTTTTTACAAGAGACAGGGCTTGCAATGCAAGGGAAGAAAAATGGGCGAAACAATCATAAAGTGTATATTATTATTATATCGGGTCTCAATAAGAGGTCTCGACTGCCTATAGGCATCAAACCTTGGCAATCGGTAATTTTCCTCTGGCCCGGAGTCAGCTGACCCTAGGGACCAGAGGGTCAAACAGGGCTTGCAATGCAAGGGAAGAAAAATGGGCGAAACAATCATAAAGTGTATATTATATGAATTAACAAATAGAAATTTATATGAATTAACAAAATTCTTCCTCCTAAACATGAATATTTAGCAAAATCTCATGATAGCATTAAGTGATGTTGAGAAGGGACATAAGAGCCTGAGGTTCTGGTGGTCTACAGGTGTTTCACCAGCTGTTAGGTCAAGTTCTAGCCCGTTACTTGGACTAGTAACGGGGGAACTAACAGTGTTAATAGTTTAAACTTTGTGCTATAACTGAACCTCAGGAAGAAGACATCTGGCAATGCCAGGGAGTGAGTAGCTCTAGCCGGCAGCCATCCAATGGACTGCTGCCGTTACCGACCCCGGGGGTGCTGACCACGAGTATTAGCCTCGGACCCACTACTCACTAGCTCTGGTGTTCTGAGCGGGGGCCTTATTATTATTATTATTACTGTATATAACTTATCCCCAATTAACAGATGGATGAAAAGGGAAAGGCAGTCCACTACATAAAAGAACACAGAATTGATGTTATTCTGCAGCAAACCCTCAACGATTTGTATAGGAAACATCCTGGTAATGTTTTTGGCTACCTTGCAGAGGAATTAGATAAGCATGCGACAAAGCCATCCATCAAAACTATTTCTGGATATGGAGTAAAATCAGTTCATGATGATATCAACAGAGTCACCATTGAAGCAACATGTCTTGTGCATAATCATGAGGAAATATCTGATAGTGCTACATGTGGATTCAATAGCACTGAAGATACAATGAATTTAGATGAATTAAAAGCCATCAACGATGCATTGCATGGTTTACCAGCATTAGAACAAGAGCCAGTGGACACAAAATTGAAATCACTAGATGTATCTTCTGGAATGAAGCTATCTGTGTCATCAGCAATATTAAAATCCAGTGCAAGACTTCAGAAGTTATCCATGTTGGATTTAATTCAGCAGCAGTATAGTGGTAAAGGACTGAAAATGCCAACACCGATTGTTTCCCTCCTTAACAGTGGCAAGAGTGGTCCAGGTAAGAATAATATGTCATCCTTAGCTGTGTGCCCAAAACTGGGATTGTCATATGAGAAAAGTATGAAAATTCTTGAGTCAATTTACAAGGCTGTCGAAGAAATGCTGAAGAAAAAGCAGCAACCTTGTGTGTCACCAAATGGTGCGTTTAACGTATCATGTGATAAACCGGAGCAGATGATAGAGCTTGTCAAGGAAGCTATAACTGAGTTAGAGATAGTTCCTGGATCTGACTTCTTCTTTGTCCTGGACGTCCTTGCATCTGATTTTCATTCTGAAGTTGTTCCTGGTCAGGGATCTGCCAAAAAGGGACAGGTAACAACAAATCGATTTTTATTTTAAGAATTTGTAAGTTATTTTACACAGTATCTTACGTGTAACATCTTATCTGATGTTTTCTCTGTGTTTATATTCTTGAAGTGTCACGTCTTAATGTCTTTTCACAGAGACTTTAAAACCGCTTAAAAAAATAAACACAGAGGAACTGGCACACAAATTTCTGATAGTGTCTTTTCACCTATATTGAGTTCCCAGTTTCTGATTATTGGGATAAGGATTGGTGCGTACGAAATATTTCAATTCTTTCCATAACAAGGTAGGCGGTAAAAAGCAGAAAAGCAGAAAAATAAGTGTTGCAGTGGTAAGAATATGATATGGTACCTGCGTCCTGCAATCGGCAATCTGCATGAAGAATATCATCCCCAATAATCAATATAATCATAAACTTATAAATATAATAATGATTTTAGATAATGTTATAATGAGATGTTAGATTTCGATTACATCGAACTATTATGAGTAGTGACTGGTCATTGCACAATATCAGCATGTACAGTATGAAGTTTTAAAGCTTTTGCTCTTAGAATGAAACTTGCTTGCTGTATGACGTATTTTTCTGTCAAATAGTTGCGCTAATATGTTGCTATGTGTCTGATATATAATGATCGTATCTTGTTTTCAGTTGCTATCTATTTGCTGGTGCCTGTTGATGAATGACCTGATGCTTGAAAAGTCGTCCAAATCATAAATTGAACTTCAAATGATTTATGTTCATCTTTTCACATTTTATCTGAACTTTATAAGTAATTGGTGGAGCTGGAATGTTTTAGTTTTTAAAATAATCATTTTCAGAGTCAGAGTAACTCGAGACACAGGTACGACTGGTTTGAAGGGCAACTCAAACCAACTGAAGACTTTTGTGATTTCTTGGAAGGTTTGGTGGAAAGTGAAGACATTATTGGTTTAGTGGATCCATTTCATCATGAGGTGTGTAATTGTTTGTTTATTTAAAGGAGATAACACTTAAAATAATTGTAAATTTACTATACCGGAAATTGTAAATAATTTACAATTCCACCTTGGTAAAATTATCTTTCTCTTTCAGGTTGATTTAATCGCATTCTTTTTCTCCTCAGGATGTTGAAGGATACGAAATGTTAGCAAAGAAGATAAGTTCAAAATGTCTTCTCTTCTCTCGTGAAGCAACACCACATTCCTCGAACGTATTCAGACTGAATACAACCATCACCCACTCCGTCGCACAACTCCAGGAACTGGACCGACCAGCGACTGTTCTAGAAGCAGCTGTTTACGAGGAAGGCGAGACCATGATTGCAGATCTGGCCCTGGTTAGTGGGGTTGGTTTTGTTATGTTCGGAGGCTTCCGAGGGATCAGAGGGAAGCTTTATAACCAAGTGTCCAAGTTATTACAACAGAAGGGACCGACACAGAACGTGTTGAGCAGCTGGGGATTTAAAGATGTTGTCCCAGAGGAGGACAGTCCAGAACAAGAACAGTGATGCTTGAGAGTGGACCAAGGAAGTGTGTTCGAAAATCTGTACACTGTACATTAGTGACTGTTTTTCTTGCATTTTGTCGTATGGAATTGGATAGTTGGCGCAAAAATAGCTGACACAACCGATTGATGATATGCTGCGATGAAACTTTGAACGCTAAATTATTTAATGATTTAGCTCATGCGTACTTTTTGAAAATTTCTAAAACCGATTCATTACAATCATGCTGTCTAATACTTTCTTTATTATGTAAATAGAATATGTGAATTTTGTGAATATAGCACCCAGTCAAATTTCGTTTTATTTTATATTCTGTTCTATAAATTTCAATGTCTGTTTTCTTATCGCACAACGTGATTTGAACCAAATTATAAAATATTAAGCCCAATCAAAATTATTCATTTTTCTTTTATTATTTTAACCACTTATCCTCTCCTGTAGGAAATCATTATGTTTATCTACCTCAGTAAAAAGGTGAGTCCCTGCAAAGTTGAAGTCATTGAAGTCGAATATTCTTCTTTCTCGAATATTCTTCTTTCTCCTTCTTTCTCGAATATTCTTCTTCCAGTTTCCACGTGTCACGTGCTAATTTCCCTCCCCAAAGTCGCTTCTTGATATCAAAATCACAATATTGAAATTTGAAACTTAATATATTATAGGCCAGGTAGCGTAGTTGGTTAATCATCGGATTTGTAATCGTGAGATTGCGAGTTCGAAACCCACTGCCTGCCTAGTCGTGGGGTGAGTGTCGTCGACATTCAGCTATAGATCCTGAGTGGTCTATGCAGCCCCCCGGTCTACTCAGCCGAATATTCGAGAAATCGTGTGTGAGGGTTAAAGTCTCGGGCGAAGAAAGTATGGTACACACTACCTTAACCGTCACTGGCCTAATTAAATCATTCGGCTTCCTGTAATTGGCTAGTTACACTTGTGTAACAATGTGGCTGTTGGAATACTCCGAAGTAAAATAAGTGTGAGATAAAAAAAATAACCTTTCAGATTGCAATACCGAACTACACAAGACTGCAATGTATATCTTGGAATAAAGAGCACGGTTGGATTGCGTGCGGAGGAGAGGATGGTTTGTTAAAAGTTCTCAAACTGGAGGTTCAAGCAGGTGAGTGTGAACATGAAACACGTGCAAACCAAGTGCTGGTTTCTCAATTCAGTTCGCTCACCTTCTTAAACTCCATTAAATCTAATTTAGATTGTATAAACAACGGATTTGACCACTTCAGTTAAAAACAGTAAAGTGCGAGGGTTGGCAGCGCCCAGTAATCTCAGCATGAACCAAACACTTGAGGGACACAATGGGACCGTCCAGGTGAGATACAATAATTAATGAGATAATTGAAATAGTTAATTGATTGATGGAGGTTAGATAATTGTAGTGTGATCTATTAATTGAGTTTATAACGCTGTGAATTGTGATCATGACATTATTTAATAACTAGTGTAACCCGGCCTACGGCCGGGATTTCAAACCCGCATTAGGTGACCCAATAGTTTCTTAAACAATAATCTCATAATCAGTTATTTCTTGTGGATAATTAAGTCATTATTAGCCATGAGGCACCACACTCCATGATCATAAGGTCTGAACACCGAGTATTACACCTCATCACTCCCGTCTTGAACCGCTTTCTATTGTTATTTAAATCGTTATAGAAATTAACCCTTGTTAACTCCGCACCACACCCGCATATTATATTTGAAAACACGCATAACATTGTCGTATGAACTCTCTCTCTCTCTCTGCAGTCCAAACAGACCCCAAACACTAACAGTCCCCCCTCCCCTAATAAGCTTAAGGGGGCATACACCAAAACAGTGGTTTGTGCCGTCCAGACCAAATGACCTCATAGGCAGTTCAGTGACCTTCTAGCGCACCGTTTCCACACAAAAAAAATCATTTTGAGGATTCCCATTTTTGTAATCGACCATTTCCTGGTTAAGAGTGCAATTTTCGGAAAAAATTATTTTGTGGTTGAGACGCCATAAGTTAATCATTTCTTGCGGTATCGAGTTGAAATTTTGCTCGCCCTTTATTCACATCTATTTCAATGTGTGTGTAAAATCTTGATATCGTATCTAAAAAGGCTGGTGTGTTCTAAGATGGCAAGTACGTACGGTACAGCTACTTTTAAAGGTACGTACCGTACAGGCACTGTAAGGTACAATTTTTTTCAAATTTTTAGAATTAACTTCAGTGAATTACTTGCAATTTTTGATTAGTATTATCATCATAATTTTTGAGATAGAAGTCGAAAAGAAACACAGTGGTTAAAACAATAAAAGATTTAAGAGGAAAATTTGTGTACCAGATCGCTCTTAACCGGTACTACACTACTACTACTTGTAATTATCGTTAAACTCGAAGCTATTCATCCTTTTGTTGCAGTATGCGAACACCAGCTTTTCAGCTAGCTCAGGTCGCAACCTTAATCTACGCTTGTCCATTATATACTCGTAGTCCCTAAAATTGGTCTCACAAATTGACGAAGAACTTAAAACACTGAAATCCATTGCTAGCAACTGGATTTGTAAATAGATATTTAAATCCATAGTAATAAACAGTATTATGGGATAGAAAACTGTTGTTGTATGAACGACACAAAGAAGGATTATAAGGTCGACTTAACGCTACTTCAACGTGACCGTTTAAGAAATTCCAGAAAAGAGTATGGATTCTCAGGATTCTCTGCATTTCCCCATACCAAATAAAATCAACTAAGAGCGATAACTTTACATCATAATTCGATCTTTATCTAAAATTGAAAAAATCCCTACAAAACATGTGATTTTGATAATCACGGACCATAAGATCACAGACAAAAAATTAGGACAGAAGATCGATTTTCAACAATATAAAAAATAGCAAGTTTTGATTTGCAAAATATATATTCTTTTATCGTTTAATACCAAATATTGATTACATGTATTCCATAAATTAATCAGCATCCAAAAAATTTCCAAAAGTGGCAATACTATATAATGATCTTTAAGTGACCTCCAACACAGTACCACATGCATAGTAGCACATGATGATTCTGTCCAAACATATTGAGTATATTTTTAATAATTAGGAGACCCAAAAGGTTCTCAACGAAAGTTTGTAAGGCTATTTCTTAAGTCATGCTATTTAAGGCTAGCACTACTAGTAAGTGTAAGGCTAATTCTAATAGTGCTATTTCTAGATTTGGTCCCAGTCCTAAAGGAAAAGCTTTCCAACTGGGACAGCACATCCCTTTAACTTTAAAGATGTGGCACTGGAAAGATCGTTAGGTTAATATTCCAAGGCATCCTTTGAGTTTATAAACTCAATTCTTCAGGTTCTATTCTTCTGATGTTCTCAAAGATCTTTGACAGCTGTGTGTAAAACCGATATCATGTTGTTGAAATATAGTAATGTAACAATTGTTAATGCAGTTCCACCACTTTTAAGATTGCACTTATGATAGCCATTGCATTTGTATTAGGAACCATAATCAGTTAACACCTGCAAATAAAATACATATTTTAGGTGTTGACAATGATTTATTCTCAGCATTTTAAACAAATAGACTCACATACTAATTTAAAACATATTAAATTCAAAAGATCTTCTATGACATTAAATGTAAGTTATTTACCGCTCATACCCCAGTGGGTGTGAAGGGGGACAGAATTGGCGAGAGCATGATCAAAAAAAGCAAGTGTTGGATATACTGGGCGGCTCCACCATAGCACCTGACGGTGAGAATGGATACATACCTCCTCAGCTGAAAACCAATATCTATTTGAAATTATCTGATGCATAGAAATGAAGACAAGAGTAAGTGATTTTAAACACAGCTACAGGGCATGATACAAACCTCGAAAAGAGGTTTTATTATCAACGAGTCAAAAAGAGTTATTACTATTGAAAAGTTTAGTGCAGCAGAACTTACCCTCCATGCTTAACCCTTGAGTCAGAGATATAAGACACCTTGTGTCAATTTGGGAACAGTTGCCTTGAAACAGTCCTCAGTCTCAGCCTCAATGGGCCCCCCCCCCAAAAAAAAAAAAAAAAGGCCCCAGATCTAACAACAGCTGATAACATCAAGTGAATGTTCCATTAAATATTCCAATTCTCCTATCATTTCACATGATACATTAAATACAAAGCATGAAACATGAAATTGAAATAATGTTCAAAAGATTAATAATAATAATATAAAAATATATATTATATATAACTCTAAACACTCTAAAGTAAAGGGGTTATTTTAAAAAGAAAAAAATGACTAAACATCATCACACATGTCTGCAAAGTATCAAATCACTATATGGAAAAACAAATATATTAAATCACCAAAGTTAATAAATTATTAACTACAACTATATTTAAAAAGAAATCAAAAGCAATCCCAAAGATAACCCATTGTCCCCCCCCCCCCCCCCCCCCCATACTTCCCATGGAATTAAAGATTATAAAACGGTCACAAGAGCAACTGCCTAAACATGCAGAAGTGAAAAACAAATAAATAAAAATACTAGCATCCTTGACACTCGTTATAAATAGAATATTAAATTCGGTTTAATGTCATAAAATTCTTAACCATACATGTGACACCAACCTCCGTTTGTTGTAAGAATGTTTAACAACCTTCTACATTGACACAAAACATGTACAAAAAGGTTTGGCATTCTGTATAACCCTAAATACAGTAATAATAATAATAATTCTATACAGTTACATAATTGAAACAATTATGGCCCCTTATTGTGGGGAGAGTATGTGTCTTCCTTAAAGTGTCCTGGTATAAACTTATCTGAGTGACTGCATTAAAATAATTTAAGGAGAGTTATCTTAAAACTTTAAGACAAAAGGGATAAATACAAGGACCTAATAAAATCAAAACAAAATGCAGCCACCTAATTTGTTGTTAATCTTTTTCTTCTCCTACGATTGACTAGAGGAACCATCTTTGGCAAGTATTGGGAACTTAGACCATAACAAATACCGTGCTGTAAGTTTGCAAGGCATGTGGACTAAGTAGGTCGAGAGTACTTGACTTGAAAGTAAAACCCTGATTTATCGCAAACCCTGTTTAACCGCAAACCTGCAGCTATTTCCTTCCCCCAAATAGTGCTTAACATACGACATGAAAACAATCAAAACCCTGATGAACCGCAACTGTTCCCTTTCTCCCAAACTCTGCAGTAAATCAGGTATTACTGTATTAAGGAAAACAACATTTTTTAAAAAGAAAACAAAATTCAAATTTTTTTGCCATTACAATGTTTATCTAGCTGGTACCAGTGAAGTAGA